GCATACTTCACAGACCTTGAGAAAACAATCCAAAAATTCATTTGGAACAAGAAGAGACCTAGAATAGCAAAAGCAATTCTAGGTAACAGAGACATAGCAGGGGGTATTACAATCCCCAACTTGAAACTATACTACAAAACTACTGTGATAAATAAAATATTTTAAAAACAAACATACATACGCACTAGTATAGTAATCAAATATTTGTTAAGTACCAGTTACATCCCAGACACAGATCTAGGAACTAGAGATAAGCTCAGAAGCAGAGTGATGGCCACTGCACTCATGAAATAGAGTCTGCGAGGAAGACAAAAGGAAAATAAAATGTGACTAAACAAAGTGATTGAAATTTTAATAAACACTATAAAATTTTAAAATAGAGTGGCATTGTAAAGATTAAAGAGACAATATACAGTTCACTTGGCTCCTTTATGTCTCACTTTCCTTGTGATGAAATGATGCCAATGAGGAAATTTAAACATGAGCTTCACAAGTACATCAACCTGGGGTTGAGTCCAGCCCCTTAAAAACACATGTGTAAACATGGGAAGTTATTTAGAATCTCTGCACCTTGGGAGTTGAATCATAATGATAAGCATTCCTACTTCACACTACTTTCATCAAGATTAAATAAGATAATATATTTAAAGCATCAATAAATCGTATGAGTAGAGCAGTAAACCCTTCTTATAAGATGGTCTGAAAGGTAACCTGAGAGAATATATATGTGAGGAATGTGTAAATACAAAGCTTAATCGTTAGATATTTCCTATTGTTAACTTAAAATTATGATGCTATAAAAAGGTAAATGCCTTAAAAGAAGTAGAGAACAGGCCCTCAACCATTTCTTATACTTCTTTTATTTTGTTTTTTAATTTCCTAGAGGTCTGGTGAAGAATGCCTTTATGATTTCATGACAGAACATGTCTAAATGAAATTTATCTGTAGTACATATTTTTTAGCCCAGGCAGCTGACAACTAATTGGGCCAAGAATAGGTAGTAATAAGGAAATGTATTTTGGTTCAGTTTGCAAGGTTTGGCACAGCTTCTATTAAAAAGCAAAACTAGGGCTGGGGATTTAGCTCAGTGGTTCCACTGCCTGCCTCTCAAGCACAAGGACCTGAGTTTGATCCCTGGTACCAAAAAAAAAAAAGCAAAACCAAACAACAAATGATAACCTCCTCACCTGATAAAGCTCACTGGAGGTTCATGAAATCATGAACTGTAACACATAAAATATGACTGTAGAGTCTTCTTCTAGCCATTGGTCTTGTGTGTCTCACATAGCAGCTTCTTGATCTCTGTCATCGATTTCTAATTTGTTCAGGGAGAAAAGACCCCAGAAGTCTTCTAGGCCAGCATTCCACACAAAGCTGACCTTTTTCTGGGTGTCTTTGACAGAAATCCATAGACCAGTAACTGCCTCCCAGAAAAGCCTGCATCACTCTGAAAAACAACCTTCACGATCTATAACTTTAAATAGATCTCAGTTATGTCTCAGCCTGTGCTTCTTCTTAATTGTGCCACTAGTCTCATTAAGCTTCTCTTGCTTAAAGATAGATCCTGATCCCATCTAACATCTTTGTTCTGCTGGTACCAAAGAAATCTGTGTAAACGAGCATTAAGCAGAAGAGCTCTGACTTACTATTCTTTCAAGACAGTCGCCTGTACCAAGCTATCCTAATTAAACTGGGACACAGTTGTTTCTGTTTTTGTTTTACCCATACTTTTTGCCTGAGCAGAAAAAGTATGATTTTAAAATGCAACTGAACTTTTTCAGACAGTTATTGATCAAGTACATTCTATGTATCAGGCATTAGTTACTGAGATGAACAGAAATGAAAACAAATGCTTTCAAAGAGTTTACCTTCTAGCAAGAATGGCAGAAATTTCTTCTGTGCCTTTTGGCTATGATCAAGGGAAGAATGGCTGAGATAAACAAGGTAAATAAACCATATTGTACGGTCATAAGTGAAAAGTCATAAGAGAAACAGATGAATAGGAGAGGGGAGGTAGGGAATATGGAGGAGCAGAGTTATCTGTTTTTTTAGGTCAGGTGGCCAGGGAAGGCTTCTCTGAGAGTGACATTTGAATGAAGCAGGAATGTACGTGGCTGGGGAGGTCATTGCATATTTGAGTGAAACATTTGCAGACAGAGGGTCAGCCCATGCAAAGACTCTCATGGACAGAAGGCTGGATCTCCCAGGAATGTGTAGGAGGGCAATGTGGATCATGCAGATGCAAGGGGTAATGTTGGAGCTGTAACAAGATGAGACGGTAGCAGGTTAGGAGGGAGAGGGGAGACAGCATGTGTAGGATCTTATTACTCAAAGCATGACCCTGTGAAGTAGTAGCATCACCATTACCTGAGTGCTTTTTAGAAATACAGACTCTTAGGCCCTCACCCCAGCCCTTGTGAATGTGGGTCTCATTTTAACGAGATCTGAAGGTGATTTATATGTATCTTAAAGTTTGATTTGTACAGTAGGACATATACATCACACTAGGTGACCTTTTATCTGTGTGAGGTATGAAGGTTCAGAGTGTTTTTAACAGAAGAGTAACATGGTCTATATCACATTTTGACAAATCACA